ATGTATAATTACTTCATAAATTGCGCCCGCTGCACGCAGCTATGTAACAGAGAGTATTCTGCACTCCGGTCCAACCAACACTTTTTGAAGTCAGCCATCCCTTCCCCCTTTCTGTTCGAAAGTCTCCACATTCCATAGAATTTCATAGATCGTAACTATGCTGATGACGTCGTCCTGCGTCGCATACCTCCAATCATCGAAGACTCTTTGAAACTCCAATGAGGATTAGATGAAATAGGGACTTGATTGAGCTCCCGGTTCCTCTGTCTGAAACCTTTAAAATATTGTGACGTAACCTGTTTTCTTCATTCCAACAGACTGCAGTCCCTTGTACATATCTCCCTTCCCACGATTGTGGTGAATCAAGGTATACCAGTTTCCTCTACCGTAAGATATTTCGGAGCTTTCTCATCTCATACTTTATCTTGGTCTGCGCAAATTTTTGAAACTTTTCAACAAGTTAGAAGACTCTGATTTTACGCACTTAGGCTCAAAGTGCTTCCGTTCTTCATGCTTTAATTCTTAGGTTTGTAACTGCATGTCTTCGCCCCCACTGGTTTTCCTGTTACCTCGTTATTTTCCCCGGACATCTTAAAAAAGAGTTATGTCCAACTTGTCCGATCGCTAGAAACTATTTATCGTTACTCTGGACTAAGCAGAGAACCGCTCATTGATTTTATCGTTACCAAATGTTTAGATGCCTGCATCAACTTTTCATCAATGACTCTGCACGACCCCTCTCACTGTTCACATATTATCCTAACCATTACAATATCTACCTCCACAAGGTTGAAATTTAAAGATTTTATATTCTTGTGTCGAAGTTCCACCCTGCCATATCTGTCAGGCCTACTAATCAACCGTCAGGAATGTGATACCGCCTTTGTGAACCTATGTTTGATTGAAGAAGCACCTTTTTTGTTTTATTGCTGTCAATTTTAATTTCTCATTGAAGCTGTTGTATTATCATCCGTAGCGTTAGTGTGAGATGCTGAAAATGTGCCCACATGAGTAGATAAAGCTTACTTTGTTTTGACTTGCCTTTCTCGTAATCACTGAGAAAATGCATAACCTAATGTGTTCTTATATTAATAAACCACACACCATATGTGCTACTGGGTTGTGACATCTCAATGAATCATTCAATCAATACACGTTAGCTAAGGGTGAGAAACACAACTCAGCTAATGTGCCGCAATACAAAAAATGATACTAAAAGTTACAAGCTACAAAAGTGTTCAATAAGCAACTAATATAATGTTAAACATCATGTTTTGCATTGGGTATGAGATCGTAATTGGAGGCGGAATCTAAAAGGGAGAATGATGAACAAATAAATTCACAACACAAACGCCACTGATGTCGACTTTTCGCCATATCGCAACTGTATCCAATTAAACGTGTTCATCGTCCTTGAGACTCTATCCAGTCAGTCGGGATACATCAAGCTACAACAACTTCGAAGTGATGGTCTTCATTTCTCTCGACCAAGTCATCGATTGGCCTTCCCTCCTCTTCTGCTGCATTTTTTGGAAAGCATTAGCCAAATAAAGGAGGCAGAGCATTTTGGTGTTAACAAGGCAACAGTTAGCAACATCCAAAGACATAAACACGAGCCCTTTAAGAGATACGAGAATGAAAGAGGAGATCTACAGCGAAAGAGGTGGAAAACTTCACACGATGAAATCAATGGGCTACGCTGCGCTAGTTCAAGCAAATGAAGGCAGCTCACCTTCATATTTTTGGGCGCATAATTCAAGATTTTGGGGTTGCAGATTTCCAGACAATCATTGGTTGCCTAGAGAAACTCTGACATGAAATCTCCCAGACTTTTGTATGGTGAATCCAATGAAGTGCCTGAAGAGTTTGTTCAAGACTTCCTCGAAATATTTTCCAATTTCAACAAGGTCTTTAACAAGGCCGACATTTTTAGGACTGACAAGTGCGGTCTTTTTTAAGATGATGCGTAACAGAAGCCTTGTTCTAAAAGGTGACAAATGTAAGAGTGGAAAACATCCCAAAGACTGTTTCACAGTTCTGTTGTGCACTAGCTCAAGTGTGGAGAAACTAAAGCCCCTGGTCAATGGTAAATCAGCTAGACCACGAGCGTTCAAAAACTATATCCTGGAAACCTTCCTGTCACCTGGAGATCAAACCGATCTGTGTGCATGACTGCTGACATATTTGTGGAGTGAATCGGAAGTATTGACAAATAAATCATCGAGAATAAACGCTTCATTATCCTAATGGTGGACAACTGTCATAGGCGCACCCATGTAAAATATATCACGACTATTACACTTAAGTTTCTACCTCCAAACATGACTTCACAAATTCAAGCTGTGGACCAAGCGATCATCAAAATATTCAAATGCACTACTGAACCCACCTCACGCAATGAGCTATGACAAAAGTGCATACTAATGATGCTCATGCGGAAACAAATTAATCTGCTGCTCCAGTTAATGCCTTGGATGCTGTGCTATGATTCAGTACCGCTTGGTTCAAAGTTCAACTAGTACTAATACAGAAGTGTTTCAGAAAAGCCGGATTTCTTAAATCTCTCGAGCACGATACTGTTGCCTTATTCGACATTTTACCTCCATGGGCAGAATTCGACGGAATACATTTTAGAGTTTGTTGAAATGGATGATGAGTTGGTAGCTTGTACTGAACCATACCCAGGTGCTACTTTCCAAGTGATACTGACTTGGCATCTCCCCTACGGAAACAAAGAATCAACACCTGCTGGTGCAGATGAAGTAAAATGAGTGGCGCTTTTGAAGTCACTGTGGCTCCACAAGAAGATGGTTTGATATCTTTTAACGCAACAGATCATTTGCTTCGGGAAAAATGTCTAAGCAGGCTGAGTAGTGTGGCTTGTGCTTAGAGCGCTTATTCAGTTACCTTGTGATAAGAGATGGAAACGAAGATTAACTGTTGCTTCAAAAAATGAGTTGACGCGAAATGTAATGTGTCTTGATTTGTCGTCATGCTCTATGGTTGAGCTTTGTTTGCCGTTACTTGAGACTTCGACTAATGTGTTCGAAACGGGTTTATGTGAAAATAAATTTCAAACTATACTACTCTCAAAGGGCAAGTAGGTTTCGCTAAGTTCTGGTAGAGAACCGTATGTTGACCACATCTGTGGACTACTTCGATCCAGTCCCTAAGGTGGTCAAATTGCGGAAATTTTACTGCAGTTACTACTTATTTCCGACGGTCAAACGCTTGCTGCGATTTTTAGAATGAAGAATATTCTAACTCTACTTACAAATTCAAGTAGTTCATTGTTACACATAATTTCCTACTCACCAGTGCTCTTGTGCAACGCTTCCTTCACATTCGACTCCGGCAACCCGTTGACAAACTTTCAGGTTTACCTTTACTTTATTGAATGAGTTTACAGGGATTGTTGCTTACTTCCAAATTGATTACTTATGTTTGTTCCTCGTACTACCGCGTCTTACCTACTCTACTCGCTTTCATGATACGAATTTAACGGGAACCGTATGATGGGTCTTACCCATTATTCATGAACCGGTTGTTTATAGTCGCTTTATGACAGCAATCAAATTGCCTACAATAGGCGCAAGTTGTTCAGTCGAATGCTTTCAGTTGTCAATGTCCATACCGTGCACTACTCTATTACTGGACTTAAAAAACGACTTTTCCATTCACTATAAACTGTCCTTTGTTAATTTGCTACTGTCCTGGTTCACTTCAGTTGTTCAAGTATAATCCAAGCACTGGAGCTCAGTAGATCCATTTACCCCGATTCGTGCCACTACACAACTGCGAAATCTACTATCTGGAGTAAATTAAACCAGATTCATGTATATTAACAAATTCGAATTATAGATCGCTGAGAGTGAGCTTGATGAAAGTGCTAACAGCGTAGTATAAAACCAAATGGACTATGCCGTTAACTCCACTGGTTCACTATGTCGGTTGGAGTCTTTACCAGTTGCAATAGCGAGTCGTTTGTGCTGTTCGTAATTTGACGCGTCAAAGGAATTTTTATTTGCGGTACGGAGAATCAGCAAATTACTCTTTCAATCTATTGCTGTCCCAAAGTAGTTTCACCTTTCGGTATATTTACCTTGTGTCTCTCATCTGTCTTAGGTCTATTTTATTTCATTGTACCAAGCGTTGCCCACCGTGACCCGGTGGTTCGGGTTTCGATGCGTACGAAACGCTTTGTGGAGTGCACTGTTTTCGAATGGGCAACACTCACTTGCATACGTTTCAGCTAAGGTCTTAGTGATCGAACTAACCGAGCTTCACTTCGATGCGAAGCACGGTCAACATTGAGATCGTGTCGCAATCCAATCACACAACGAATACTACAAATGGTCCTCCACCAAAGTGGACTTTATTTCGTTTATAACTGCACTCTGTTGTACCATTGTAGTCTAATGAGAAGAATCGTGTTTCCCAGGCACTGTGGCTTCTATATGTCCGCATCTACTTTCATGTGCAATTGTGTCCACGACTCGGCTTACTGGTAGGTTGACGCCCATGCCTTTCTGTCATTGGGTAACACAGCTAACCTCAGTTACGAGACTCAATCTGGTTGGACAGCAGACTGAGTAGTCGAATTTCGTTTGTGCAGTGTTCACATTCAGACGAGCCACGCACACAAAGCTCACAACGCATCAACTCTATCCGGACTTCTTCACGCGTACTTAAAAGTGTGCATTCCGAACCGCGGATTAGATTCAATCAGATCTCAGCTTTCGCCGCAACGGATGTTTTGTTTGAAGGTGCACGTGACTATTTCAGAGGCCTTCCCCTACAGCAATCTTTTGTATCATTCGTGGCAAATATTTAGTGCGTTTTCTCTATAACAGTCTCGGTCAGTGGATTTATTTTAAACCCAAATGTACACACTTGCAAAATGAGCGCCAATATTACTGCGATTCCACCTTCTTCTCATGCTTCTGTCCCCGATCAATCGACCATGCGACCATCTGCATTCTTACAATCATCCGTTGCAGCGGTTTCGGGCGAGAATTATCTGCCGTCCAGTCTGGCCATCTTCCCTGATTTATCACGAGACAAAGTTCTTGGTTTTTCGAACAGATCAAATGATAGTCATTACGAGAGTGAGCCGGAACAGCAGTTGAAATCTACCTTCTCAAGTACAGTGACTCCGGTTATGTCACTGGCCAATTGGGGAAAAGCACCCTTTCATCACTCCTCTTGTGCATGTAGTCAGAACTGCTGTGCTAATAAGTAAGCTTCTAGTTTGAATTTCGTAACCATCATTTCTCCTTATCAAAATATTCATAATTTCTGAATTCTACGACTATTTCGATGCTTAGAACTCCCTAAAGATCCAGACCCTTGCTTTGCAACGTGATTGCACCAGTTGTTCCGGGTGTGAACGAAATCTTCAGGTTAATGAACTGGTTGACTTTCGATTTCACATTATATCCTGTTATACTGCTGCCTGTGCGCCACCGAGCTACGTATGTGAACCGTATTACTGACGGAGTCAATTTAAAAACGCCGTTTTTTAATCGGTTATAAAAGTTATCACCCTCTCTCCTTATCCAACTTTTCTACTCCTTCGATTCTTTATGGACCTTCTCTTCAAATGCTTCATGGAATACTCGACTGTTCTGATTGGTGATTCTAGACACACTTTGTAGGCTGTAGCTCATGCGTCTCTTTACTTCATGCGTTAATTTCGTAATTAGCACTCAGGCCATTGTGATGTATTTGCAGCTATTTACCCTTTGTTTTCATACCTGCCGTGCATGTAATATTTCGTATTGAACAGTATTAAACCTTAGAAAGTATTTGCATATCATTAGTTGTCCTGTGCTCCTTTCAGTAAACTAGTTCAATTTAATCATTTTTCCAGTTTGCACTGAAACCACCGGGTTCATGACTGTAAGAGTTTTGTGGTCCGTCCCTTTTTTTGTACACACTTTGCATCAACAAGGTTCCCGATCCATTTTCTACAACACCCTGTCTTTGGGGGCTAGCACCAACTGGGTGGACTTCGACCGTGCTTCACAGCTACTTGGCACAACTCTTTGTTTGTATGCAAAGTGTACTCGCCTCATTCCTTCTTTCTGGATCGAACTGCATAGCAATGCTTCACTCCAAAGCCACGCCCTGCTTGCCATATTTTCAGCCATGAATGCTTGTTGAACTAAACTGTCCACATACATATGTGGCACTTGCTCTTCATCTCACATGAACCTCTGTTGCCCACATCGGAGCATTGACACACCCTTTTTGGCTACAGGTCACCGGAATACTCTCAATTGCCTATTTATTTTTCTATGCCTTTAAATCTGTATATTTCCCAGACACAGCAAAATACAGATCTCCTGCATTAGGATGATTTTCATACTACCGACTCAAATTTGTGGCACATCTGACACATCAGAGTTCCGTTTGCTCCTTGTGTATCCATATTCCGGGGGGCTACATCAGAAAAGTTTAGCCAACTGACGAGTGTAGTGATCAAAATGGTCTTTAATCTCCATCGGAAATTTTATCGGCGCGGATCCTTTATGATTATTGTATCAAAGTACATGTCAACTAATGTATGAACCACTGTTCTTCCTCACTACCGTTGCTAACCATACGCTTAGCCTACTGATTGCGTCCATGTTTGGGTAATTTTCAAGGCACGTCTGTACGAAGAATATGTCAGTACTACCCAGTCTGAATTGTGAGACTGGATTAACCGGCTTGTTATGAAATACACTGTTTCTCAACTAGAAAGGCTATTATCATGCAATTGATCGCGATATACATCCACAGAACGGACCGCGGATTAGTTTGACGCCAGCCCCGGATATTTCTTACACTGTTTCCTCACCTTATGCGCTACACCTCCAACTGTTTCTACTTTTATTGGGCTTTACAGGATGAGATACCTGAAGCGGGAGCTCAGAAGAAAAATGTCTGATTACGGACACAAGCAGTTGCCGATAGACTGCTCCTTTCTGATGAAGCTGCTTCTCACAGCGAACATAAATACCCAGATTGAGCTTCAATATCCACAAAAACCACGACTTTCTAACCACTGCACTTGCTGGTCTAGTGTTACGAGCGTCTCTCGTTGACCTCTACTTTTTGGTTTCAAGCTCCACTTTTTGCTCTCACTAGCTGTTGGTTTCAAACTCCGATGTTATCACTGTTAGAGTTCAGTGATGGCAGTAGACAGACCAGAGTCATCCACTCCGAGCCTATCAGTATTTAAAACACAGCCAGCTTACCTTCATTTTCCATTTCACTAGTGAACTTCATTGAGGGATGCGCACTGTTGACTAAATCGAATTGAGCATCGAACGAACATGCTAAATCTGTTCAAACCGTCCCATCCGTCCTCATTTTTTGCCTTCACCAGTTTACTGTTTCATTTATTAGTGCTGTGGTTGTAATTGCCTGATGTGAACTACCGAAGAGAGATCTTTTTGCAACGCTGTGTCTTACTTTTCCATGGGTATTATCTAGCAGTATTTATTTCAAGATAATTGACTACTCGATCTGGGGTTGCGTATGGCGATCCAACCACCTTAACCTCATTCCTGTTGAATCACTCACTGTCCAGAAGTCCTTTCTGTGGGGAGTTGGAGCAGATGTGGCACTCATTCCTCCGAAACTGATCACTGTTGTTGACTACTGACCTATTCCACATGCGTCATTGTCCGGCTTTTAAATATAACGCTTTAGTCGAGGATTCGAGCCGTATAATTACCCAGATGCGGGATACCCGATAGAATCCAATTGTACATACAGTCTTGACTATCTTGTCAATTGTCCTACTTTTAATACAATGGCCCTCAGATGGTTTCGAGGTATAACCTATCTGCTACACGCAACTACACAAATAAATGAAAACCACTTACTGTTGAAACCTAATTCATTTTCCACACGTTGCTACACTGCAATAATATTCAGTGTTTAGGGATCATCACCAACAACAGCAGTACATCAGTCACTTGAACTGATGCTTCGCTGCTGTACAACCACGGTGACCTACGGAACGAAGAATAATGACAAGGAGAGAAGAAGGATCTGCGCTAAAAAAAACTTACTGGGATAAACAAACATTCAGGGTCAAGGAGCCTACATCTTGTCTACAACATAGCATCACGAACAGCTGGCTATCGTACAGAGATAAGGCAGCATCGGCGAGACAGCTTCCTTGCGGCTTTCAATGCTCCGCGTCACAATCAGCCATTACCCCATAGATAACTCAGCGCCAAACACATTTTAAACATGCTATCCGACTAGACGGTAGCAGACGCACCACTGGTGTCGGTTGCGAGCCATGTCCTGTAAAGTCTCGAGCCAAGCACAAGGCGAGTCACAGGGCTTGCGCTACGCTACATCTGGTTAACAAAACAAGGCCCTCCTCGATAATCGGTGCTCAGACATACGTTGTGCATGCCCAAGACAACACAACTTATTCAGTACTATCTGTTGTCCTAAGGAAATAGCCTGGTTATCGCTGCCTAGTACTCGCTTACTTAATAGGTAGAGGGCCGCGTCATATTGCCCTTTTCAAGCTGTCACCTCGATCGTTACCGTCACCCTTGGTCCAGTAGTCTCAGGCATGGAATGCTAAGTGATATGCGACAAGTGCACTCAACGGTAATGAAATAAAATGCGCACTGCTTACGATTCCCGTTGGAATGAAGCGATCGTCCAGTGGTTTTTCAAGCGTGTTGCCCGTCCAAATAAATCCACTCGTGGTTCCCTCAGCTGATACTAGTTGCCAGTTATCTTGTGAAATAAGTAGGCACAAACATCAGGTCATCTTGTCCAATTTCCATACTTACTTTCGATTTACAAACAAAGCAGCCGGCTACTTTATGTCAGATATTGAGGTGTGCTGCATCTGCTAGACCACATGCTGCGACTATCATGGTAGTGCCGAGTTATATGTGCATTGCTACTACCACACAATTAGATACTTAAGCCTAGCGTTGCCGCTACAGTAGCCACAAGTGAAGTTCAAGTAGATGTCGTGCTCTAATCCATACACTACTGATTGGATTGGTTGGATTGCCATGAACAGACCTCTGGCTTCATCCCGTTGGTCAGCATCATCGGATTCCTGTTCACCGAACAGTGTTACACATTGCTTGTTCACGGTTGCTGCCTCTAGTCCAGCTGACTGCATCACTGATACTGCCGAAGGTGCCAACACCACTAACTCAGCACTCAACTGCGTAGTACGATCATCTGGAATGTGATTGTGGTTACTGTAGCTTTGGCTGGACAGGTAGGTGGTCTGAGCTCATCCGCGATTCAGTTAGTTGAGATATTTGCACTTGTTTGCGGGTACACAGTGGATGACGCATATTTCTTGTAACTGCGTGTCGGACGTCGGATATATCCATGCAACACTGCCATCATGCGCAACCGATGTCTACGTGTCGTTTGGCCTCATTTGCTTGATGATCAGCGATAGATCCAAATGGATCACTCAACTCTTCACCTTCATACGGCGATGTTCCATCATTGACCGTCCGTAGTTTTGCAACGTCCACACCGGCTTCCATGAGGTTCTGGTCCGCTCCCGATTATCCCAGAATTTGTTTTTTGGAAACACGGAAGGTGTTTTCGTCCGATTTCAGCCGAGAGTCTTTTACATCCGATCGGGAGATCCTATACACCAAGCTATAGTTGTGTGATTTTGCGGATATCGTGTCTCAGTGCATAACGCAGAAGGCTATGCTTGCAACACTATCGGTCGTTACTACACCATACGCTGGATATGGGAATAGTTGGTAAACTTGCGGCGATACATGAAGAGGTTCCTTGTTGAGCCAGTCTAGGTGCGATCTGTTTAGTGATGATGCGTGTTCTGAATGAGACTTTGCTATCTACTAGGTAGAAATGGTTGACCTGGTTCACCTAATGTAGAGGGCATGCGCTGTTGGCACCTACCACATCCTCTGTTAACGGACCACGCGACTGTTTGCTGTAGATCACTTATTGATGAAATCCATGGACATTGTCGGCGCTCTTTTGGCACCAGTGCTTGGAGCCTTCTGCGTTGTGTTTCAGTGGTGTACTACCGGTTAATCTAAACTCTACCTGATATAGTGAGGCTGTCTGGCTGATGCCGCCTTATCTCCACAGTAAACCTATATATTTTACTGTATGCTTCTTCCGGTTTGTACGCATTCTACGACACTTGTTTGTATGGATGTATGTAAGATCTATGCATTACACGCACATAAACCCAGTCTATTGTCACATCATTAACGATCTTGTCCTCACCCGTACTTTTTCCCATTTATGCACATTCTATAGATTTCAGCCATCCTCCCATTATATGTGACGCAGCGTGCCTGTTGAGACACCTATTTGCCTGTAAAAGTTTGATCATGCCTTATTTACTATGCCTCAATGCATTCGAGAATAAAAAATTTATTTATTTTTTGATGTAATAGTGAGTAGGGGATTTTGATTTAAATAATTGAGGATTCGTCGCAGCCAGTTCCAAATCAAATAGTCGTCTATATGCCCGGAAAAGCACTAGACGGCAGTTTCAGCCTGTCATGCAAGTTACGAACGTTGCAGAAAACAGGGTTGGCATGACAGTGGAGGATAAGACGCGCTATATCGCAGTTAGCTTGCAAATCATGGCGGTCCGAGGCTGTCCCCCTTGGCCCAGCGACATAAGCTGCTGACTGGCGGTGCAAACCGCCAGTGGTCATGTGTTCCAATCCTGATAGATCCGATAGATGCGCACTACTGATGATGCCCAAGTGGCTGAAACTTCAGTCTAGTGCTTTTCCGGGCATGTGGAAAACTATCTGACTTGGAAGTGGCTGCGACGATCCCTCAATTATTTATTTTTTATTTATTCTCTGATCAAGGGCACTTATTTTAATCTGTTATTAATGAGGTGGGGCCTATGGTGTGTTGTCTCAACTGTGTGGTGTAGTGGATTGATATCGATTCTCTGGTCCGGTGCTAACCATGCTCTACATGTTTTCCTTGGGTTTGGTGTCATCCGAATCCATTGTTTATGTTATGTGGTTCACAGTGACCTCAATCTTACATCACCTTCAGCAGCTACTGAGTTTTATGAATTACAACTAACGCTTTACTTTTGTACTCGTCTCCTTTGGCATTAGTTTGCTTAAGTTTCCCATCGAATTGTGCACAGGTACAGTTATTCGCTGCTATCGTGACGCAGTTTCTAGGATGATGCATTAATTTAGCAGCATGAATTCCTCTACCTTCAATCGTTATTACCAGTTTTTCCGCATGCCATCAGGCCCCGCAGCCTACCTCCGTCTGTAGTCTATGTACTCTGGTTGACCTCCTTTTGAATCCCAGCAAATGTGTGAAGCAGTTAGTAGTCCTTTGTCGCATGATAGTCTACACGACAGTTGGGTAACCGTTGACCAACTCTCCTCTTCTGTTTTTGGTTTCTAAAAACTGCGACCGCTCTGTTGTAACAGATGTACTGAATGCGTATTGGGATTGTGTAAGCGTTTGCTGAGTACAGTTGAAGGTTACTACTCGCATGCTTATTGGACCTTACTAGCATCAGATAATTCCTCATGTGATGAATCTGATAGCCACTCTGAACATTGGGTCTCTACGCAGTCTCTGAAACTTATCGATGTTCGCCAACACATTCTCGTTGGAAGCGAATACATCGGGGCAAAACCACATGCTAGGCTGAGGAGAGACCGCGAATCCTGTTTTTCTCATCATTCGTCGGAGATGGAAGGGGCCGCTGCCCTTGGTAAAGGTCTTTATGTATTCTGTCTGATACGGGAAATGGGCAGCAGAAGATCTGACGTTATTGAAACTGTATGTGACAAGGATGAACAGTCTATCCACAACTTGTCAAAACGTGTGGAGCATAGGCTGTGCACTTTGAACGGCAATTTTTATCGACCGGAATTGTCAGGTTTCTCGCCGGCCAGGGATCACCCTACTGTCTAGGCTGTCTCTTTGGATCCACTTTCTCGCTCAGAAGTCGAACGTGATACAGGACTGCTGCAGTCGCATAACGCAGCGGGACCAGATGATCCTCATCCAACCCTTTTCAAACTCGAGGGACCTGCTCTTGTTACTGACTTACACGAATTACTAATGAAACTGTCTCAGCAGACTGGAGCCGCACCGTCATAATCCCAGTCTTTAAGGGAGGCTCCCGTTGGGAATGCGGCAACCATAGAGGGATCATTTTGATCTCCGTCGCCTCCACATTGCTTGCCTCTATCCTCCTTCACATACTGACCGACTCTCCCGAAAGCCACATCCGTGAGGTGTAAGCCGAGTTTCGTAGACCCCGGGGCTGCATCGACCACATCTTCACTTTACGTCAACCGTTCGCGCACTGTCACATATTGGCGACCCACTGTTGTCGTGTTCCTTGACATCAACGCTGCCTTCGATTCGGTTGATCGATGTGCCCTTTGGGACTGTCTACTTAGGAAAAGTGTGCCGGAGAAATATACAAACATCATCCTAGCGCTTTTCGCGCGTAGCTCTAGCAAAGTGAGGGTTTACGGCAAGCTGTCCCTGTTGCGTTCCCAGGACACGACTTAGGTGTGGAGCTGCTCTTAGGCGAACGACTTCTTGACTTACAGTATGCTAACCATATTGCGCGGCATCACTGTCGCAACGGCGCCATGGGTGGCGACGGGTAGAGTTTACAATGCAGCTGTGCGTTTGACCCTACTACACAGTCCTGAAAGCTGTCGTATTAGGTCGTCAGACGTAAAGAGGCTAATTACGTTGGACGACCTTTGCCTTCGCATTCTGGATCATATCTGGTGGGAAGACCGCCTGAGCAATGAGCGTGTTCAGCGCCTTTTCTATAGCATAGGAAGAGGGAATGAGCCACTCAGCACCGTTATTTCACGCACCAGGCTCCGATGTCTGGATCTGGTTAGTATGAATGAAGGCAGTTTGTTCGAAGTTGGCCTCGATTGTGGCCCGAAATTGGAACAACATATTTGCTTGGACAAGGTAGTTGACATGGCTAGGAGCGTACCACAGTGGCGTTTGTGTTGAGGGTTTCTTTATCCCTCCCCCCATACCACGGCCTCATTTTGGGCGTATATATATATATATATATATATATATATATATATATATATCCAACCAGTACTGGTGGCCCAGCTGTCGTGCCTCTGTCGCGTTTCTTTTCTCTTCTCATGTTTTGGGCACAATCGCCTATATTTTCCCCCTCTAGCTAACGTGTATAATGCATGAATGTGTGTTCAATCATTTCATTCTAAGATTGATCTTGTATTCCCTACCCTGGTGACCTGTTCCGTCTAACAGCCTCTGTCGGTGGCCCATTTGATTAGTGCACACTGGTTGTCTCATCAGCTACTGTTGTCAAAATCGATATTAGGGTGTAGCAGACTCATTCGAACTTCAAGAGATCAACCCCACATTTGTGCACTTAGACTATTCAGTAACAAACGCAGTTAAATATCATGCAATTCAGGGGTTATGCGCAGATACATTCCGCTGAATAGAGTAACGCGGAGCTAACTGGATATGACTCAGTGTCACCTGCTTCCTCTCCAGGTTGGCTGAAGGCCTAAACACTCCTATTACCTTCCGATGCAAAGGTATGCATTTCACACTAGTTCACACTGACTGGTTATCAGGAGTTATAGGAGAGTTCTTATACTTCCAATAGATTAAACTCTTGGAAATTGTTGGTTTGCACTCAGCTTCTTGTTGCCGCTGGTTCCTACCACGCATCACTCGTTGCTATCCTATCTCGTTATCTTGAGTAAACTCTCTTGTTCTCCGTCGAGGACTTCATTATGAGAATATTTAGCCACCAGCTCGAGGGACTCGAATGCCTATGTTGCTTTTCGAATTAATCAATCCGTTTCGGTTAGTGCGATTATTGATCTAAAGTACTAAACACTTCCTTTTGTTTTGAAGAGCAGTGTACCGAGAAACCGTGGGTGGTCATGTGGGTACCTCCTTTATGGACCATACTCAATAACACGTTACCGTGGTCACGAGAATCCGGAACAGCGGTTGCAATCGTACGCTTCATATCATGTGACAGTTGCCCTGTTGTGCTATCCTAGCACGAATGCGCGTCACCGGTGTGACGCACAGTTTGCGTGGCGTGCTTGCCGGTATCTGGATTAGTTGTTATGGCATCGTACCGGTCCGTTGTTTCGCTGTGTATTTGCCTCACTAGTGTTTGTTTTCTCTGCATCTGTGTCTAGATTGGTGTGTTCAAATCGCACAACTAGTATTTGTGGCGTAACAACGTTCACAATAGATACGGCGCCCTAGTGTAATTTCGGTGCACTCTATTGGCTCTACACGAACTGACATCAAATGCAGACAAAACACATCATCAGCCTACATTCTATTGTGCATATCTGTTTGAGATCTAACTGTAGCTAAATCCACTTCATTACACACGCTTCTATCGGGTCTTTGTTAGAGTACTCCCAGTTTTTTTTTCGTTCCAATCTTGCTCTGTTTTCTAATCTGTCCGCTGCCTATCTCCTTTGTTTAGATCCACTCGGAGCTTAGATCATCTCGCAATCGATATGCCCCTCCGTACCTGTTCCTCTTCCCCGTGCTTTTTCAACTCCTTCGACACCACTTCCATGGAACGCCACAAGAAAGCGAATAATCCTACAGCATCCTGTCCTTTTCTCGCGCCTTCGCATGCATTTGTGAACCATCTGCATTTACGTGGTCACATGCAGCTAAACAGTGATATCCACCGTTCCCGTGAGTTACCCATTTTTCAGTTAATCGCGTGTTTAACCTTTGGTCACACCACTACCCCAAATAATGGCCACTGTGGAGCACAATATACAAATGGTCATTAGGTTGGTTCCCAACCTTTGGTTTAAACTCGCATCTCTTCGGTTTAACGCTGTACTGTATACGGACTTCAGTAGATTTCACTGTGTACTGTGTCTTCACAAGAACAGTATCAGGTACTGACTTTCCTGTGGGAATTTTCAAACACTTGAGACCAACCACTGGGTTTCCCTACTTACTTACTCAAAAACCGGTGTACGAATTTTTTGTACAGTGGCTTTGTGCTGAAATGCGGACCGCGCGATGGGACTGACTTCATGTTATACGCGACTAATGTTGGTCTAGACTAATCGTTCTTGGTTACCAACGGTGTGGTGCCAATTGTGAAGAGCCACCGCATAGGTACGATCTTTCCTACCGATGTGTCACACAAACCCAAGGTTAGTAGATCTCATTTGTACGAGATGATGCTGCACCTGACCCTGTCAATTCATTCAGGGTGGTCTCGTTTAAACGAGTATGAGTATAGTTTACAAAGTCTCTAACCAGACTTTGCGCAACATCGCAGCTCATCGTCGCATGCCTACGTGGACACATGCGCTGTGGGACTGCTGAGCCGTAAATCAACCTACATACACTCTTTCCGGATATCAATAAGGACGCTTTGGTTTGTTCAACCTGAGTCGCACTATAATAATACTTTTTAACCAGTTCACTCTCCATCCTATTTCACAACAGTATGGCAGTCTGCTGTGTTATCAAATTCCACATAAGTTTTTGGTGCGTTCCAACCGAATAATCACGATTGATGCCTCAGGAGACGCTCAAGACAAACCACACCACTTGTACGAAAGTGTATTACGCCATTTGCAAACAGCGTCACCTGTTTAGTGTAGCTCTCCAGTACTGCCAAACGTTAAGCTGAGTTTTACTAAGGAATTTGTTCAGCACGAAATTGACCCGCGTTTTATTGGGTACTTTCGTCGCAAATCGCGTCTTTAGTTGTACTCCATGATTGTTGTTTCTTCGTGAGATGGCTCATGTTTGACATCCTAATTTTCCTACGCCTATGTAGCTCACTTTGGGGATTGACTAGTCAGGAACTGGTTATCGAATAAACTGAACCTTAGAATCCTGCTCATCGGCGTCTCGGGAGGGTCCGGTAAATCGCCCCAAACTTCACGGCTAGGATTGCAGGGATGTTGGTTATATTTTTCGTGCTACTGTTTCTGCCGAGTCGATGTTCCGGGCTATTAACGATATTGTTGCGGCACACAGCGGATAGACTGAAGGCAATTTTTATGAAATGTATCCCGGTGCGTAATCACGTGTGTGGTTCAACTTTAAAGCTTTATCGTAGTCCACGGCAGTGCCAGGGGACGATGTGCCTGTGTGCTGTTTCAGTGTACGCCTTCCGCTCGAAGTGGAGCAGAATAAAATTATTTAACATATCTTATCCGTCGTGCTAATCGACACCAATGCTTAGAGACTCTGTCGGACGTGGCGCATTGTCGGGGTCAATGCGTCCCCTGCATTCGTTCTCTTGCGTTTAACTGTTCATACTTCAATGCGATTACCTTCATGCACTTTGTTCTTGCTTCCATCCTGCTAATAGCATATGTAAGTCTAACCACGTTTACTTATCATTGCTCTTTATAGCCATTCTGGAAATGCGAATCGTGGCAACTGCATCCACGACACTTTGGTGTCCGGATCATGGTTTACCAACTGCACTGAACTGAACTGAAACAACCGGGTCCTCTTTAAGTATCGTAGGTTATTTAGGAAAGAGAAATTCCAGATAGAACTTGGTTCGCTTAACAGGAAAGCAAAATACTAAAAGCGAACAAATACTCCTCTACAAGTGGTTATTATTCCTAATGTGAAAGACCTAGTTGAAAGTGGTGCCATTTTTCCTACAATGGTTCTTTGGAAGCTTGTTTTCAGTTTACCGGAGTGCCCGCCATAACTGTGATTTAACTTTATCTTTGCTAAAAATACAGGCACATTGAAAACTTATTGCTCAGGTGTGCGGCAGTTGTGCGTTTCGTGTACGTTCGTCCGACAACGTAATGTACAATTTTTATTGCAGTAGACCGTGTACGTAACGGTTACTTCAGTGCTACGGCTAAAAGTCAGTACAGTGCCCACAAGCATCCAGTTTTCCGCGAAACATTCTGTCCTCGAACACTGACCAGAATGTATCGATGGTTCAAGTATCCCTAGCCTGTGCTTCATCGCATGAAGCGCTGTGCAACTTGGGGTACGCAGACGCTGCACTCGTGTACGTAGTGCATTGTGTGCGATTCGATTGGATCTCCGGACTGCCGTTAGAACTCCTCGGCCTTTTCTCAGGACACGCAATGTGTGGCAATGAAAATCGGTAAACATTTCCCGGACGGGCTTGTAGTTATTCCACGCTCGCTTTCTGTAATCCATCGCGGGCTCTATGTGACAGCACACACTGAAATGTACATTGATCTGCCTCCGTTGCCGGGGTCTTATGTGCTTTTCTCTCAGTAAAGGGATATGCTTTTACTTGACTAAGCAATCAGTTATCTTGCTGTGTTTACAGACCGTAAAAACGGACGTAGGCCTCATTCACAGAGCACAGACGCCACTATTTAGCAACAGTGGCAGTCTAACTTGTCTCGGCTTTCAGGAACGTGCCGGTATGAATGCGTTCCATATCTTCGCTTGTGCTTCGTAAAAGGCCTTTTTTCCTAATAACGAGCTACGCTCCCTCGTAAACTTATAGCGATTGGTTCACGCTGAAATCCTGGTGCCATTCCAACGCCAATTTTGGTTTATTCCCCCACCTACCCGCAAAACTATAGCAACGCGATTAAGCCTACTGAGGACTTAAAGCTGCGCAGACGTATCGTTTATCACAATAGCACGAGTCTACGTTCTACATGTGTGCGGATATATTACAGTCGTGCTCATTTGCACACTTCATCCATGGTGCTGCTGTGTCTATCTGTTCTCCTGTGCGTATTCTTCCACCGCGTATCAGTGGTGGCTCGGTGTGCACTGTGCGCACGGCACCCTTGGTGATCCATCATTTCCCTGATTCTATCACGCATATCCATTCTCCCCATAGTAATCATCAGTAGGGAAGCACAAGTTGACTGTGGCCGCGATTTTTCACTTCTTTTGAAGTTTATTTATTGGTGTTTTTGCTTTTCCTCTTAGGAGTTTCTCCTGTTTTTGTGCAACCAGATTAAGTAACATCTTTTCATCTCCTGAACGAAATCGTTCCATCTGTTCTTCAGTGCAGTATCTACGAACCTCCCAATCGTATAGTCATCAGAACAGATAAACGCAAAGTTGTTACTGCTGATACCATTTTCCCTATGCATCCATGTCACCGCACTTGTCGGTGAGCTCTTGGCTTTAAATCAGTTATATTTAACCATTCTGCACATTGTCCTTGATTACGATTAGCCCACGTATCTCACCACAAGGGGTACAGCAGGCTACACTTTCACGCACACTGGATATGATGGTGTGTTACCCTGTTACGCGATGCACCTAGTTTATTTTACTGCCATCGCATCCATGCACAATCGTGCAGGCTAATGATGATGCTGCATACAGCAGCCCAGCTTACGTTGAAGTGGGTTTCGCGCTTATATCCATACACAACTGATTGGATTGCTTTCCATGAACAGACCTCTGGCTTCATCCCGTTGGTCAGCATCACCGGATTTCTGTTCACCGAACAGTGTTACACATTGCTTGTTCATGGTTACTGCCTCTAGTCCAGCAGACTGCATCACTGATACTGCCGAAGGTGCTGACACCACTAACTCAGCACTCAACTGCGTAGTACGACCATCTGGAATGTGGTTGCGGTTACTGTAGCTTTGGCTGGAAAGGTAGGTGATCTGAGCTCATCCGCGATTCAGTTAGTTGAGATATTTAGATTTGTTTGCGGGTACACAGTAGATGACGCATGTTTCTTGTAACTGCGTGTCGGACGTCGGATATATCCATGCAACACTGCCATCATGCGCAACCGATGTCTACGTGTCGTTTGGCCTCATTTGGATGATGATCAGCGATAGATCCAAATGGATCACTCAACTCTTCACCTTCATACGGCGATGTTCCATCATTGACTGTCCGTAGTTTTGCAACGTCCACAACGGCTTCCATGAGGTTCTGGTCCGCTCCCGATTATCCCCGAACTTGTTTTTTGGAAACACTGAAGGCGTTTTCGTCGGATTTCAGCCGAGAGTCTTTTACATCCGATCAGAAGATCCTACACACCAAGCTATATTTGTGTGATTTTGCGGATATCGTGTCTCAGTGCATAACGCAGAAGGCTATGCTTGCAACACTATCGGTCGTTACTATACCACACGCTGGATATGGGAATAGTTGGTAAACTTTCGGCGATACATGAAGAGGTTTTTTGTTGAGCCAGTCTAGGTGCGATCTGTTTAGTGATGATGCGTGTTCTGAATGAGACTTTGCGATCTACTAGTAGAAATGGTTGACCTGGTTCACACAACGTAGAGGGCATGCGCTGTTGGCACCTACCACATCCTCTGTTAACGGACCACGCGACTGTTTGCTGTAGATCACTTGTTGATAAAAATCAGGGACATTGTCGGAGCGCTTTTGGCACCGGTACTTGGAGCCTTCTGCATTTTTTTCTGCGTTGTGTTTCAGTGATATTTCAGTGGTGTACTACTGGTCAACCTAGACTCTATCTGATATAGGGAGTCGGAGTGTCGTTACTTCACTTTCATCTCACTCTCTGATGTTCCTTTTTTCATGACTGCTATGCGAGAAATAAGGTTGATTTTTATGCAATTGAATGACACGATTTGAAACATTTCGTAGTCATCAATCGTAGACATCCAGGACACCTCGATTATAGTGGTTTTTCATGTAAGTGATCGAAAGCTTTGTTCCAACTACAAGAACCTGAAGACGATACTGGTAACATTGAA